ACATATATATAGGAAAATATGGTGGTTTTCCCTGCCCTCAAATATTCATTGTCTTTCTGAGCTTTTGCCCCATGGAGCTGCAATGTGTCTTAAAGTACATTTCTTTGTTATTATTTTGCTCACATAGTCATATGAACAAGTTGGATAATCTGAAATTGCTGTTGATCCTCCAGCTATCTCACTGCAGGCAAAGAATTCCCTCTTTTATATTTTCCTCAAAATTGTGAAGGTGCTAACAAGAAAGGTATCTGCAGTTTAGAATTTAAAATATCTGTGAAATCATCGGAACAGTACCTGATCAACAGGTGCTCAAACATTTGAGAGTCACTAAAGGCAACATTATATGGATGAAGAAGTCATATTTATCTTCAGGGTCCAGTAAAACATCAAGAAGGCAAAGGATGTCAGACATTATCTGTATTATTGCTACTTGCATTATCCTGTTAGTATATAGACTATGAAATGTGGATACTAAGTACTAGGAATGGAAAGGAAAAGTAGATTTTAAATTATTGCAATGACATGAAAACAGAAGTAAGTAGTGCAGAACTTGGATGGAAGAGCCTTTTTCTTCTCTTCTGGTGTCAAAATGTAGTTATTGTTCTCCCTGTATATAGAAACACTGCTGAGTTGCCTTAGTCCCCCTAACTGACAAGGATTCATTGGAGAAAATACAGTATTAATATTTCCTTAATATTTGCCAACAGCAGTGGAAAATATTACCTAGTAAATGCCACACAAATAACTCAGTCTTTTGTAGAAGAAATTCCTTCTTCGACCTGGGGATGTTTACTTCAAAAATAGCCATTCTGAATCATTTTCTACTGTTCTGCCTGCAGGACTAACAAGTCAGGTCAGATGTGTCCATGTTTTAGTCATATTGAAACTTTTCCTCTGGAATACACATTGATTTCTTAACTTAAACCCCCCCCCCCCCCCCCAAAAAAAAAAAAAAAAAAAAAAAGAAGCCAAAATACCCACACACAACCAAAAACACAAACAAACCAATCAAATAACAAGCTGGCCTTCATTTAGTCCATCTGTTTATACCAGCTAGATAAACTAGTTGGTATAAACTGGATAAACTGGATAATCTTGATAATGTACTATAACAATTCCATTCAGGATGTAGTAAAGCTTTCAGATGGCTGCTTAACTCTCAGGAAAAATTAAGCCCTAACAGAAATGCTGGAGATCCAAATTAGCAAATAGCCTATTTTCATCCCAGAATATGCACCTGGACCAGGTGGAAATAAAATGAAATAAAAGGGGTATGGCCAGTGTCCAACAGAAAATGGCTAACAGAGTGAGTGGTCAAGTGGTCACAGACTTAGCAATATTCTTTGGAAAGACAAATTCACAGCATTTAACATACTTGCCACTGGTTAATGAGTTAATGAAAAGCAAAATAAAATCAGGAAATTTATTTTCAGAATTATCAAGATAAAGAAAATTCTGAGCAAAGCAGCTCTTTTATTCTCTCATAATGAGTATACTGCCTCCCTCTCAAAGCCGGAAATAAGGAAAGTCCATTTATCTATTTGACTAAAGACCAAAATTGTAACTTGGTGTTACCTTTCCTGTACACATGACATCAGGTAAGGAAAAATTATACTCAGTGCATACCACTGAATTAAGGAAAAATTTAAACTGTAGGACCATTTTATTTCATGCAAACTATGTAATAAACACTTCTGGTTTTGATGTTTTATGTTGGCAAATAATTTATTTCTTTTTTGTGATATTTCTGCCAGTGATTAATGCTGATATCAATGTGCTTATGGATTTACCAACCTGTTTGTCTACAAGTCCCCCGGAAGATGACATCCCACATGCTCATATTTATGTTCTTCCTCTTGCAGTTTACTGGAGATTCCATCTCCTCAGAGTGCTAAAGACTGACTGTTGGGAGCATCCCAACAAGGAAAGAGAAGCAGGCAGTGTGTTTGTTGCCGTAATGAGATTGAAATTTCCTTCCCGGTAAGTGGACAGCTGAATGACTCAGCCATTTATCAGTTGAAGATAGAGGAATGGAGGTGCCTGGAGAAAATAATTACTTATTATGGATGGCAGCTGGTATGACATGAATATGAATCATGGGGAAAGCAGTTAGTTTAGAAAGAGCCCAAAGGAGACTGGACAGCGTTACAGAAATACCAGAGGACAGGTGACCACATTGAGTCTTAGAAATGTAGTTATGATTTCCAATAATTGGTCAAAAGTGATTTGTGTCTTTAAAGTTCTTTTCCAAAAGGAGAATAAAGTTACAAACCCTACTTCACAGGCAAGATTTCTACCTAATTCATAGAATTTTTATTTTTTTTTAAGAGTGCAAGAGACTTGGTCACTTAACACTGCTTTGGTTGACATCTCAGTTGAAGTCTTTGGCAATCAATAAAGGAGTTGTAGTCATTCCATTAATTAATAAAGTCATGTTAGAGATAACAAATGAAGGAACAGTACATGTTGTTGTTGGATATAAAAACCAAGCACCAGCTTTACCTTCTGTGAGAAGACTGGAGGTAATTTTTAATGCCCTTATGCTAGCATTGTACAATAGGGGGAAAAGACAAAGAAGAGTCTTCACATAAATATTCTAATTTTTTACTTTGAGTTCTTGGTTAGAAGAAGTAATTGGGCTTACCTGAAAACCACAATAGAAACAGATATATTAAGAGATAGCCAAGAGGATTGTAAATTTTTTTTTCTGGTTTATTTTTGGTGATAATCTAATTTCTCTGAGGTTGTTCATGTAAGAATCTTGTTTCCCAGCTTATGTCTTTTGGTCAGTGTTTGCAATCTCTTTGTATAACCTTTTCAAAATTTTGTACAAATTCTGTAAAATTTTTTTCTTCGTATTCTTCACACTCTTTGCATTTTTCTGATTTTGTGGAAGTCAACTGAAAAAAAAAATGCAATAGTAAAGCAGGATACCAATCCATTCATTCTGATAGAGAGTTTGTTTTTTTGCACTGTTTTGGGGAATAATTCCACTGCAGGTAATGGCTATGGAAAATATTAGTGGAGATTTCCATGGTAGTTATGGTCTGTGCAGTTCCTGGCTTACTTTTTGAATAGAATAATCTTGGAGAGGTACATCGCTTCAGTGAAAGATGCAAATGATTGTCCCTCTGAAAATTAGGATACTTTTCTGCATGTGTCTAACATATCTGACTGCAAACTGTCATTTATACACACACATTCAAACACCCTGACATATGTAAGCATGCACAAAAGTATTTGCTTTGATGGGAATCCTGAAAGTGTTTTTCTAAAAACCACTGATTTTTCGTTATTACAAATACGGGTTACTGGAATGAGTTTTCATCTCTACCATTGCACCATTTATGTAACAAAATAGGTGTTTCTGCTACTGAAGAAATATTTTTGATTTGTCTTTTTTCCTCACACTGTTGGTGTTGCTTACCTTATTTTTTTCAAAGCTTTCATTTCCATTTTTCCATATATTCCACACATCCTGTGTTTGACTACAATTTTTGATACGACATTCTTGAATTATCACTTCTGTCTCTAAGAAAAAGCATCTCATTACAAGTTCTTGGCATTCTTCCTGAAAAAATTGCAGTTGCAATAGTTTTACGATAAAAAGGAATAAGCAAATGTAGGACATAATTTGTGATATAATTTAAACACAATTATGATATAAGCGAGATGTAATCTAGGATAAAATCAGCCACAAAGAGGCTGATTTTTAATTGCTGGGCATATTTTCTTATTATTCAAATACATTTAAATATCTGTAGAGATGGGCTGTGAGAGCTAAGAACAAAAAGACCAAACAGTTTGCTAAGATGGGGTGAAACATAGTGTCTTAGTGAGGAAGATAGGAAAATAATTAGGATAGGAACCTGGCATATAACTAAGCATAGTGGAATTAATATTATTCTTAGTAGTTTTAACACTTCAAGTCAGAGATCTAAATTCAGAATGGGTAAGAGAGTAGAGGAAGCAGATAATGCTCCCTTAAATGAAAAATTAATTCCAGAATTATTTTAGCATTGTTTACTTTGATAAAATGATTTTGAATCACACAATCACAGAATAGTTTGGGTTGGAAGGGACATTAAAGATCCTGTACTTCCAACCTCTCTGCTATGCACAGGGACTCCTTTCTGTAGGCCAGGATGCTCAAAGGTCCACCTAACATGGCCTTGATCATCCCTTTCAATTGATTAATGTTATTAGAAGATGACTAAATAAGAATAATTAATACCTGCTTGCATAATTTATCATAAGCACTTTGATTAGAAGAACTATTTATTCCAAAGCAAATTATTTGATTTTAGACATGTTTATCGAATTAGAACAAGTCTACTTTAGGGGATAATTTCTAGTAAGGCCATGAAACCACCACATTAAACATTAGTTGTGGTCATATGTGGAGTTTACTTACATCCTCATCTGCATTTGCAGTGTATAAACTGACATCAATATCCTACAAGAAAACAAGAGTTGGAATTACAAACATTAGCTAACAAACACCATCCCTCTCTGTCTCACTAACACTTCTTGGCTGAGTGCAGTGCTAAATATTTTATTAAGTTTTCTTCTATGATTATACGGAATGCTGACTGGTTTATGAACTTACTTTGGATGTCTTGATCCTTTCCAAATCTTTCAGAACTTCTGCCCACTTGCAATGACCTGCTTCTGTTTTTGGTACATAAGCACTAGAACAGAAGAAACGTAGTGACCATTAGGCTAAACTGAAGGTATCTACAATGTCTATGCTGAAAAAAAACACTCAGCATTGTAAGATATCATAGATACATTATTTACATGTAAATACATATGGTAAATGTTTGGGGCAAGCAAGCACATTTGACAAATCATAAAATCACATAGATACACAAAAACTGTATCTCATGTCACACACAGTATAAACAATATGGGCTTTTTAGAAGGCCAGATTTATAGAACATAACGCAAGAGAAAGGTTTGATTACCTGATGTTAAATACCAAAAATTCTTGTAGTGTAAAAAATAAAGTGTAAAAATAAAATTCCAAATCCACTCTCTGAAGTGACTGGAGACAAGTAACAGTTGTGACAGTAAAAATAAATAATTTGTAGTTATTGTCTGATTGACATTAACTTTGTAGTTACCATAGGAAGAAGATGATTAGTCCCATCCCATTCTTTAAAAGGCAAAAGCAATGGCTGTTCAGAAGCAGATACTGCAGACAAATACTTTTCAGGTGTGGTTTCTGAAAGACACAACCAAGGTGATACCTCGTCACAATTTAATTCCACGGAATTTTGCTTTAGTACTGACTTAATTAACCAATTTCCCAAGACTTCCAATAAAGACAAGACCTTGTTGCATGTAGCTGGAAAGACCAACTGGTTTGTAGCTTGGAGAAATACAAAATCATTTTTCCAAACAGCTGGTAGAAAATCAGATGCTGAAGGCACACTGAAAACCTGAACTCATCATGGGCTCCCTATTTATTTATCAATTCATATTGCAGGCTGCAATTTAATACAGAGGCAATACTAAAGAACTTTGGTTTTCTACCTCTCCCCTGGCTATCATTTGTTACCCAAATCCGATTTATTTCCTACAACTTTAACTCCAATACTATGGTTGCATATATGTGAGACTCTACACTGAATGCATCAAATATTATAGTTATGTGTACAAATGTTAAATAAAATATTTAGATATAGTACATACTTACATCTCTTCACACAGTGTATGTGTGTCTAATATTGGTCAGTAATGCATTTAAGAATTTCCTCAGTGGAGTTTGGCAACTGAAAATAAGGAGAAGCTGTGAGAAGCTGTGCATTATCCATCAGGAAACATTTCCCTGTGCAGAGCCTGGTAACCTTTGTTCCAAAGTCACAAGCCCTTTGATTCAGCTGATAAAGTTCCCTCACAGGCTTAGGTTAATTACCTGCTGCACCGTAGTTAGTTTTGACCAAAGGTTTTATTCCTGATCCAACATGAAATACTCTGTAGCTGACCCAAATTACATTTCTTTACCTGAAAACTTGTGAGTCAATATTTAAAAATGGACCACAGAACATAACATAAGAAGAGCTGTGCAGTGGTAAAAATATCCAAATGGGAGGTCAGTCCATGCAGTATCAGGATTGCAACTCACTTGCTGAAAACCACCTTAATAAAGCAGAGCCAGGAGGGCAATGATCACATGTGTGACAGGACTTTTGGAAAGTAATTGTAACAAATATTTGCTACCCTCTTAAATAGAAAATGCTTTAAATAAATTGCAATTATTTTGTTTCCAATCCCCAAAGATATAGCTGAAATAGCATAGTTACCTAATACTACATAAATTTCCACATTCAATAATGGGACTCAGTGTCAGTCCCTTTTATCTCCTTTGCTTGTCTAAAACCTGTTAAATGAAAGTTATGTAAATGAATGATACTCTGACAATCTAAATTGCAGTAAGGACAGAGCAGGTAACATCTCCTGCATCTTCTGAAAAATTTCCATATGGAGGATGCTGTATTGTGGTCAGCCAAAGTAGGTCTACAAGCAAGGCTAAACCTGTCACTGCTTCAACAATGAATAGAAATTGAAAATATGAGTACTAAACCCAAAATGTTAAGTACTTATACGTGTATCTTTTTCAAATGTGCAGAATAAAAAAGGAAAAGAATTATTAACTGCATGGATATGGTCAAAAGAGCTAAATCACTTTGCTGGGGTATGACAGAAAGGCTCTATCCTTTTCACAGTGTACAGATTTGAAATTACCATGTTATTTCTTTTGGGTTTGGATTTAGTTTGTTTGTTTTTGTTAAATCTGCATACTAACTTCTTTCATTTGATATGCTAATCCTTAGAAAATATCCTATTTTAGTTGGGTTTGGGGTATTTTTTATTAATATATAAGTGAAGTCAGAAGTAGCCTTATGGGGAAACTCCAAGTGTATTTAAAGGAATTTTAAACCTAATTGGTGGATACAGGTGAAGAAAACATGTTTTAACCCCAAGTCTTAAGCAAATAATTCAAAGTAGACTAGAAATATTTTACAATAGCTAAGCATTTTTATCATTCTACAAGCTAGTTTTTATGGAATGAGATGAGGTGGCAACAAATTAAAAGATGAAGGACTTATGATGGATACATAAGCACAAACCAGCTTTGTAACTTATAATTAGTGTTACGGGGCCTTAAAAATTTATTTGAGAGGGAGTCCCAGTCCAAATGAATTGTCAAATTTATGCCACAGAACAAAGTTTTCATGGTGAGGAAAGAATATATTATGATATCTAGTGAATAATGGACCAGGATTATCATTAGGTTTTTTCCTATTTTTTTGTCATTTTTGTCTTTTTTTTTTTTTGTTTGCATTTTTCCTTTTTTTTCTTTTTTTTTTTTTTTGGTCATATTTTTTTTTTTTAAATAATTGTTCATTGTAATGACACTGGAACACTGTGTTCTTAATGACTGAATGTCTGCATCTTTGGTTTTTTAAATATTGTAGGTAACCATTATTGTAATAGCATTATAATTCCTAGCGTAAAATAAATGCTTAGTTTTTAGAAGTAATAGAAATCTTGTATTAATGATAAATATGTGAAAAATATACTACATGCAGACTCTAAAGGGTACTCCATTTGTTCATAAAGAGATTTCAATGTCAGCTACATCCCCCAACACACTCCTTAGCAGGCCCAATGCAGGGCCATTTTCTACTTGAATTTCTTAATTCTTTCATTCTAACTATCATTCAACAACAGAAGCATTTCTAGCTGGCTTAGAAGCTTTTAAAAATCATTCTCCTGTCTTGAACACATAATGCTGTAATGTAAAAATTTTCTTTGGATAATGTCTGGTTTTGATTTCTTACTCTGTGTAATCATTAATTTATTACCCTCTGTCTTCACTACATCTTTGGTATTTACCCTTGTGAACATTGGAAAAAAGAGAAGCTCATGTTTACAGACATAAATATTTTTTTCTATAGCTTGTGTCCTGATCACTTGCTACTCTAAAGATTAAAGCCTTTGGAAGTGAATATATGCTCTTTCAAAAATCAATTATGATATACATAATAATGTTTGGGAAAGGAATGCTGTTTTTTAATAATGAATTTAAATTAAGGCATTTTAAGAGCAGTTACCTCTGAGTGGTAGCTAAGGTACAGTAGTATTGTTTTCTCTTTAAAGAAACAAATCTGCAAGCAAATGAAAAAACCTTTCTTTAACAAAGCAGAAACAGCCAATGACTTCTGGTTTGGCTGTCACAGAAACAATGGTCTAAGATACTCAAAAGAAAATATTGGTGGCTTTTGACAGTATTTAAGTTACATGTGGTGAAAAATACAGACAGTTAAAATTGCATGTTTCTGCTTAAATACCATATATCTAAACTTTTTTATTAATATTTGCTTATACATGTCTCCTTAAATCCTTGAGATAAGATATTCATAAATAAGAAAGTTTTATTTCCCAGATATGCCATTTAGTGCTATTGGCAAAGGTCTTCTCTTTTTTCTCCTTATTTTGAACTGTATTTGTATTCTTTATTTATATCTTTATTCCTCATCTGCTTCCTTGTTCTTGAAAACAAGTGACCGGAAACATATAATGTATTCAGATCTTATGAGGGATTTAGTAACAGTGATAATATTTTCAGTTTCTGTAGGGAAAAAGGGAACTATTGCCAGTGTTTTTTTCAAAATTGTATCACACTGGTGGCTCAGGCTTCCCTGCCGGAAATTTATGTCCACTTCTTTCAAAATCCTGGAATCTCCTGAGAATCTTTCACCATTTGTTGAAAGTTCTCACCCTATAAAAAACCCCAGAGTCCTGAAGTCTAACCTTCTTAATTTTTGATTACTCTAAAATTTTCTGCAAGTTCTTGACCTCTAGCACACAGCTTTTTTCCTTGATCAGCCCCCTTTCCTTGTTCCCATGAGCAAATCAGCCTTCTCAAACACTTTTCATAACAATCCATTTTCCCATTTTAATTCTGTAGTGCAATAGACTTCTTGCACATTATTTATCATTGTTATTGTAGTCGATCTCTTCTTCTCCTCTGTTCTAAAAATATGTGTCCTCAGCATTTTCTCTCTCTTCTTGCGTAGCAAAGTACTTTAAATCTTCTTTTCTCTGTTACTGCTGCAAATTTCCCTCTAAAAATCTTACGATAACCTCCAGCTCTCTCCAGTCCTTTGACATTTTATTAAGCAACGTTTCATGCATGAAGTAGGGGTGTTTTTAGATCTATATTCAAGTACCGTCTACATCATGTAGAGCTGAGTTTTACGCACACTCGTTTGCATTGTTGCAGCAATTCTTCTTCGGTGTTTCTTTCACCACAATAATTAGAGCCTTCTTTAGTGAACTCTGCCTCCTCCCTCAACAAAATCTCACCCCGTGGCTCTTGCTCTGCTGCCCTCTGCTTGTTGGCTCCACTAATTAATTGTTCTGTCCTCTTGCTCTAGTGTAATTACCTTCAAGGGGACAAAGTACCAAGTAACTGCACAACTAGAGTGCTGCATTTATTTAAGGTTCGTATTGTGCATAAAATTGGAGCTCACTGTCTCTGCTCAGAAGCACACAAAATGTCAGAATCCATAAGACTGAGAAGAAAATCAACTTTTTTTTCCCCAGTCTTGTACCAAAAGAATATTCTTTTCTATTTTTTTTTCCCAGGGCTGGAGCCATGAAGAGTGAAGTTTTCATAAAATAATGGAAGTGACTGGAAGAGGAATGGAGCCCATAAAGAAAGCAGTACTTCTGAACTAGATAGATGTTTCCATATTGAGCCCTTAAATAAGTAATATTGAAATCAAATTTTCATGGATTATGAGTAAGTTTTAGAGAAAAGACATGCTCTTAGTGCCTTGTCATGGAGTAAATGCTGAAAATCAAAGAAGATTCACTGAAGAATCTCTCTGCTCATTCATCCCTTGGTTGCTTTAGGGTTCTTATAGGAAACAACCAAAGGGAAACAAAGAAAAAACCCTAAGTTTGAGTTAGTGTCAGAATGTAATTATTCATATTTATGAACACAGAGAACCACATTAGTGTTCTCTGAGACAATAAGAAACTCTATTGCAGATGCTACCAATAGGTACAGCTCTCAAATACACTATCAAAAAACCTTATTTTACATCTCTGGTGACTTCTGAATACCACTTGATGCTGCAACTATTAAAGAGTTGCTTCCACACTATCATGCTGTTTGAATCCATTGTAGTTCCTCCTCTCCCTTCCTAT